TCACGCGTTTAGCGAGGAAACGTTCGGCGGCGTTAACGAGGGAAACGATTCCGCTGCAGCCGTTGAAGACCTTAAAACTTGCTCCCGGAACGGCTGCCTTGTTTCCGTCAAGGGTACACACATACTACGGTATACGTCTTCGGCATTCTCTCTCTCTTTCCCCCTCTCCTCAACGATTCCCGTGGTACGAGAACACGGTTTATTCACATTCACAGTCGTTAACTTCTATAGAATAAATCTAACGCGTCTAGGAAAGAAGTAGAGAGAAGTGGTGGTACAGGCTAATAAAGAAACGAAACCGATTGACGGAATGGGCTCACGGTGTTTTGTCACAGAACGTCGATTTTTAGCAACCACAGGGGTGGTGATAAACTAAGAGGATTATTGTGTACTGCGACTGGAGGAGAAAAACATAGATAGAATTCCGACAAGTGAACGTAATACGCGCAGTCTTGGATCTTGGTTTTCAAAGTGCGGTGACCCTTCAGGCTTGGGCGGAACTCCTTCGCTTCCGGTGCTGTTCCGTCGCCGCTATTTCTATATATAAACCCACACGCTTTTGTTGGCGTACACGTACAGAACAAAACGCGCCTATGTGCCACTGCCAAATGTCCCGAACCGAACGGGAGGGGGTGGGGTGGCGTGGGGGATGGGGACTTCGTCGTTGTACGAAACGATTTATTCATTACGAATGTTCTCCTTCGATACTTTTCGAAGCTTACTGTACTATGATTTTATATAAATTTATCAGCAATAAACTGTGGAAAACGATCTCGGACAGACTCGTAGGAAATCATCCGCGAGATACAGGTTTTCCAGAGATACGCTTTGGAAAATCTGCGATCGAGAAGGAAGCGTGGCAATTATTGTTTCCTTCTCTATTGTGAAAATAAATTGCAAATCGGATTCGTGAAGTGTGATCGGAAAGATGAGGATTTATTAAATATTAAAATGTTTAAAGTTATACTCACTGGGATGATTTCCGACGAAACAATTGACGGAGCTTCTCGATATCCTTTATTTCCGATCTGTAGAGCGTCTTCGTTCTTCGAATCTTGTAAACTTTCTGATCGATCGTTTCTCGTAATTATTTGAAAATATTCAAATACCGCAGTCACCTGTCTCTCTTTCTCTTGGTTTATCCGTTTATTTGGCGAAAGTTCGGTTGCAAGATAACATTCTACAATTGACATCTTCCTACGACTTCCGGCACTAGTTGGAGGTCGTCGGGCGATTACTTTCTGTCGAAAGTTCGTTGGCACGTGGGAATGGTGGGAGGGGTTGACCGGAGTCAAGAGGTCGACCGCATTGCTGCGCCGAGGAAATTGTTCCCGATAGACGATACAACGAAAAAGAAACGAAACCCCTTTTGCCAACGAGTTGTTAATCTAAAACACCGCTTCCCGTTCTCGTCTCGGGCAGCTGGAACGGTGAACGTTTCAACGATCGTGACGACCGGACGTAACAGCGCCATTCTGACACGTGGCGAAAGAAGCGAATTAAAACGGAGGAGGCAAACACCGTGAAATGTCAGAGAAAAAGCAAAAGACCGGTAGGACAAACGGGAGTAAATGAGAGACAACACAGGAACGCACGATATACACCGATTGTTACGTAATAACGCGCAAACGTTACCACGCGATAGGGCGATAAAACGTGTCGTAGGGGATGAAGGAACATGTCACGAAAGTAAAGAAACGATGTCATGTCCGCGACACTCGGGAATATAAATCCTTTGCTTCGATCACAAAGATAAGAAAAACCTCGAAACTTTATTTCACCGTGTCGGCGTAAATCGTTAGAAGCTCTAGGGTAAAAATCTAACTGGACCATGAAACGAAAGGAGTACAACGCGTTATCGCAGTCACAGCCAGGATACAGGAAGAATGAATCCGATATACGCGTCCCTCGGAACGATCCGAAATCGGAGTGGTGCCGTTTCGAGAAACCACAGAACCGGACGTAAAATCTCGCGTCACCGTGAATACCAACACTGCCGGGTCACGTCGTCGTCGTCGTCGTCGTCGTCGTTGGACGAGCCAATTTTCCGTGGTCTCTCGATCGCGCGTCACGGACGAAACACACGGACATCATCGTGCAGCCAGCCAGCCAGCGGTGGCGGTCGGTCGGTCGCGTCTCGTCGGGAATTGCACGTGCGCCACCGCATCGGAGACGCGCAGGGCAAAGTGCATCGTAAGACTGCTGACGGGTGCACCTCCGGCTTTCCGATGCAACGCATCGTCCCCTATTCCCCTCGTCTTTTCCCTCCACCCAACCCCGACCCCCCGCTTCCTCACTCGTTCGCCCGACCGACCGTGCGCACAACGACGGGCTAGTGCACCACGTGACCATCCCCTTAACTTTAGCAGAGACCGATTACCGCACCACTCGCGACCATCGGCATCCGTCCTTTCCTACCTTTTTCGATGTCCCTCTCGTCTGCCACCCTTCCTCCCTGCTCAATTTTATCATCATCTTTTCGCAACTTCCGGTCCGTTGCTCGTATTCCATCATCGTTTGGTAGCCATTTCGCTAGAGAATCGCGACGTCATCTACGTATATGCATCCTTCTCTCTGACCTTCCACCGATTTTTCCCGTCCGGCTCGCTTCGCGGGGAATATCATTCTCTCTCTCTTTGATCGACTAGCGATACTCCATCTTTATCTGCCGAGTAGATAGGTCACGTGTGTCACCGCCGTTCGTTCATCCTGCGCTAGATCGGATAGCTATTCAACATTTCGCGAGTCCCGACTACCATCTACATCCATTTCTTTTTTCTCTTCCGTCTGTCTGACCTTCTACCGATTATTTCTCTCCGGTTCTCCTGTGCCCGAGGAATATTTGTATTTTTCCCCGTGCCAACACATCCCTCTCCCTCCGCGCCCGTTCGATATTCCGTCCTTGTTCGTCGACACGGCGGATAGATCCCGGTGTCTCTGTCGGTTCGACGCGCCGAGGAAGGAAACACTCGCGCCGCGGTTCTGTCTTCCATAGGAATGTTTGCCAGCAGCCTTCCTCTCCATCCCGTCCTAGCGGTCTTCTCTTTCTCGCTCGTTGCATTCTATCGAGCACTGCGTCATTTCTGTACGGTGTATGATTCGTTCCCTCTCTCCTTGTCGTTCGTTCGTTCGTTCGTTCACTCCGTCGTCGTTCTCCTTCTCTGTTCCTGCCGCCGCGCTGTGGAGGATACCGACCCTCTCTCTCTTTCTCTCTCGTTGGTCGACATCCCCACCAGATTCGGGTCGACTCGTTGCACCGGGAAACCGGGAGGCGCAACCGTCCTTGTCGCTCGGCTCCATTCATGCCTCGACTCTCTTTGGGTTATGCAACTTCGGTGCGAGACGCGAGACGAGGGGTTGCGTCGTCGGCTGCGCCGATACTGCACGCTAGTTTCATCGAATCTTAACCTTATGGAGGACCATGGCTAACTCTATTGGACGAAGTGTCCATCTCGATCCACACAAGTCACGCTGATGTTTCTCTGCTACCAATTACTACAGCTCCGAAAAGTTCCAAGTTTTTTCCGTCGATTCCATCGATATCGATTCCTCTGTTCTTCCTTCCTATTCTATCTTCTTGTCTGGACTGCCTACGTGCTCTCTCTCCGTCTCTCGCCTTTTCACTGCGTTGATCAACCGATCGCCTCTTGGGGGATCGCTCGCGTCCTAGATCAAATAGAATTTTTAATCATCTGGAGAGTGACGTTTCCGATCGTTCCCATGGGATGCCTTTGGATCTGGGCGAGGAACAGTCAAGAAAATCTTTTCGGTTTTTCCGTATAACGGTCGTATATAACGCACTTCATTTTATTACACTTGGTACAAACGATTTGAACTGTCCTAGCAGAGTAAGGTTTCGTAGGCGAGTGAATACGATCATTCGAACGACTGAATATTCTACGGTAAACCTTCTCCTTTCCAGATTTAATAGATACGTTCTCACGATATAGTGTCCGATTGAACGGTGGTAAGTAATTTGCTCGAGTCGAGTAAAAAAGAAAACAAGAGGTACCGAAAGACACACGATTACGTCACGTTGTCTTTCGATCAATTACGCTATCTAGGGTATCTAAATTTTTATACAAATACACAATTAATATACGGTGGACAGAATTCCCTGAAGCACCACTTCGATCGCGAAGTAATACGGCGATTGACACAGCACATTTTACATTACACTGGTTTAATATAAACCAAGCGATTATTGCTATCGATCTTGAGCAGTAACGACGCCTCCGTCAAAGTCGTCGAAGAAGCTTCGAATAAAAGATTTGAACACAGAGCAAACAGAAAGAAAGAAATTACAAGAAAGTGATTTCGATTTTCTTTAAAGGAGCTTCTTCCACGACATCGACCTGTTCCAATCTCTCCCGCGTGATACTTTGACGTGTACATTCTTCACGTTTACGTAGGTATTTATTATGTACGAAAATACAATCTCTATATCTTACATCACACGTTCAGCGTCGAGAATGCAATGAAACGACGATCGATACGCCGGTTTCATTCGCGCGACGCGTCACTGGTGTAATGTTTTCTTTACGCCATTATCAAGCGAAATTAAATTGGACAAACAGAAGGAATGGCAAAAATGCAGTTAATGATTGTGTGCCGGAAAAATTCATCTTGTACGCGTGTATTTCTATACAAGAAGTAACGTCGCGGTGGATTGTAACGTGCATGCGTCTACGTTAACGAATCGATCTCGATCGGAAAGATATGTCCGCGGATACAGCGTGATAAATATGCGTGCACTTACCTACCCAGCATGCTCGGGAGGCGATAGCATGCGTGTCGCAGTGAGAGTGATACCTCTGGTGATTGCGACATTCGTACTATTTTCCGTGGAAAAACAAATTATTTCGGAAAGCTACTCAAAAACTCACACAAAACGACAACAAGGAACTGTACCGCGACTCTTCGCGATGATCTTTAGGAAAATCTCGAAATCTTCTCGATAAACGTGCGCGAAATGCGAAATATAATTTGTTTACGTCGTGATTGACAATCATCCATGATTTTTTAAATACTGTCCGCAGTTCTTTTCAGTAGTTTCAGTTCCAAAAGGCAGTAGTGAACGCGATGTGACCCGCATCGCTTCGGTTTTTTCCTCTCTCTTTTACTATTTTTCTAATAGATATAACGAGGAATGATTAATTAACGATTTTGTTTGACGGCAGGAAAATCTCGAGAAGCAATTATTCTCGTTTTCTCGACGCTGCACGGGAAATTGAAAATGTTACAGCCATCGAAGCCACCCAGGCTGTTTGGTGTGCCGCGGTACACGATGCATTGATCTTTGCGATTATTAGCGTCGAATGAAAACAAGATCCATGGAATAATGTTCCCTGAGAGAACCGATTTCAATGTCCGATCGTGAGCTCCCGTTCGATGATTCGTATAACGCGCGACGTAATAACATCTAAAGCGTCGCCGAAGGTCGTCGTCTAGTTGATCTAATTGACTTCTGAATCGTATCGAACGAAGGCTAGATTCACGGAAGACCGATTTCGATAGCTTACGTCGCGGGGAACCGCGCACGATCCCACGATACTTCGTTTCGACGCCGATTCATGGCGATCGCACGGAAATTCGATCGAACATTGAATCGTCTTGTGGTTGCATGGCGCCGAGATTGCCGCGTGTGCGGTATCTCGAGCGCGTCTAAAAACGGGAGAGGAACGATTAGCAATTTACCGATTGCCTTATCCGCAGAGGGGGGAATCGATTCCCTCGCGGAATATTTTGCTCGACGAGGTCGTCGTTTTACCCTAATCCAACGTCTAGGGACATCATTACCAAGAAACCAACGACGGCTGCCCAGCTGGCGAGTTTACCGTTTCCACTGCAATCAAAAACGAAGATACTTTCAATGACATCCTCGCCAAATATCAAGCATGCTCTCCTTTCCAGTGATGGATTCTAGGTGGAGGAGGAAAGAGTCTGGGTCCATCATCCGACGAAACGGATCGGTATGGTTCGATGATGCACAATCGAGGAAACAATGGAAAAATCAAGCCAGGAGGGTGAGTGCAACGGAAGAAGCTTGGATCGGCGATGTTGAGGATCGTTCGTGTACCGCCGGTAACGAACGTGTCCGGAACGCCGGGAGGTACAACGAAATGGCGAGAAATAAAAGGGGTTTTTCGCGGGGCATAAGTAGTGGATTAAGCACGCACAAAGCACAGACCCGCGTACCCGGGTATTGCACGTCACGGCTTGTTGATTTCGTAAATTATACACGGCCATCAATTTTAACGGCCGGCGAAACGCGCCGTTGTGTTTCGGTGGGCGTTCTACCACATCAATCATATCCGCGCGGTAAATACCCCCTTTTCGGTGTGTGCCACGGATATTTGTATTTTTATTAGCCATTACCGTCTCATCGCGTCCCGAAAAACGGATGGTACGCGATCGTTAGTCGTTCGCGATCGGTTTCTGTCTTGTTGCGAATCGAGGAAAAAAAATAAAAAATCAGAAATAAATCCCGATTTTCGTCTCAGTCCCAGTGAAATTTATCGCGTAGATCACGACTTATCTTCGCGTTGCCTGGAACCGAAGAACTCGTGTTCCGTTTAGGATTTTCGATCTAGTCGTCGAAAAGTAGGCGATCGCTGGAAGACGACACGAACACAGCCGAGGAGGCAGGCATTCCTTTTCACCGAGCACAGAGCACATGCAAATGTCCAGGAGCCGATCTCGGTTCTAAGAATCCGACGACCTACGAAAGCCAGCCTCTTCCACGAGAAAAATTCGATTCCGAGAGTAGGCGAGGGGCCTAAACTAGTCGAAATCACCTCGCGAACCACCAACCTCGTCTCGTCCTTGTCCCTTCACGCTATCGATCCCAGTCGCCGCGAATAGATTTCACACAGGCGTCTTCCGGCGTTTGCCTTTCCCGAGGTCACACGTTCGTTCGTCGGCCTGCTAAACCAGAAAGCAAAGCGGCAAAGAACCGACTATTGCACTCTCTCTTCCTTAGCTATCTATCCTTCTCTCTGTCTGTGTTTTGGAAAAGATCACACGACGGTGTACACGGAGCGAACGGGCGCTCGTTGCCACTTGGAGGTCGAGCAACGGTTCACCCGTACAGGGGAAGCCAGGGGGGGGGGGCAGAGAGAGATCCATTTTCACTTTTGTGTTTTCCGGGGCCCCAGAGGGTTCCCGAGGGAGCGAACCTCGGTCTACTGTCTCAGGAGTGTTTGCGAGACGCGTATATGTATACAGTGGAGCCGGGTATCCGGGCAGAGCGGTTAGATCGCACGAAATACAAAAGAAGCCAATTATAATGACAATGCGCGTTCCAGCTAGACACCGTCGGGCCTGGGAAAGAAATTCGCCACGTCCGTTTTACCGACGCCGCAGCGCTCTAACTACGCCACTGCCGTCACGCGCCATTGTACCGTAATCGTTCCCGAATACGTTCGTCGTATGTATAACGCGACACCGTGTGTGTGGCTACCACTGTAGACGACGATAGACAATCGTCATTGGTTCAGCTTCGCGCGAATTACCGCGTCCATCGTTTAAAATTACGAATTTGGTTCCATCGGTCAATTGATTATTTTAATTCGCGGGGAAACGAGGTGAGGAACGGTGAGAAGTACAGGGAGAGGCGGCGGAGAATGTAAAATTGATTTAAAAAAAAAAAAAGAATAAAGAAGCATTTAACTTCGATAATTATCGAGTTGTTATCGTTGTGGATTTTTGAACATTGGTAAGTTCTGGTAAGCGTGAAAAGTACGTACCTTTGGTGCGCTTCCGGGACAATGTCGTCGATCACGACGTAGATCATTGCACCGGCCGCGAAGGCAAGTGCATATGGCAGCGCAGGTTCAGCGAGCGCGACTCCGGCTGCACCAAGGACGCCGGCGAGAGGCTCGACCATCCCCGAGAGTTGACCGTACCAGAAGCTCTTCAAGGTACTGATACCGGCCGCTTGTAGGGGCAAAGATACCGCTAATCCCTCCGGAAAATTCTGAATGCCGATTCCGATCGCGAGGTTCCTGCAACAAAAAAAAAAAGCGTGAAAAAAAAGCGACTTAGGGACGTGTCTCCTTTATTTACGGTTCAGGCAAAGGCTGGTTAACGCCGCCGTCGTTGCAGCTCGAAAATGATGGCCAGTTCTGGCTGGGGTAACGATAAAGAATAAGAATAAAACCAAGGTGGCTCTGCACGAGCCAACTTGCACACTCTCCTCTGGTCGCGGTGAGTTCTTGAAACTGGTTGACGGGCTTCGACATTCTCTAGATTTTTCCATCCGACCGTGCCGAGTGCTACGGTGGCCGCCGCGAGGAGGCTTCCTAGACGGCTGTTCCAACTGGCTACTTTGAGCTTAACGCTGGAAGGTAATCTAGCTATCATCCGCGACCGCCAAGCAATTCCATTGGCCCCTTGGTATTTCGATTCACGAAGACGATGTTTCGTAGATCGTTCTATTTTCGGTGAAAATTCGATCGTTCAAGCTCTTAATGGGAATTGCAAAGAGTTTGTTGTTCGAAACGATCGGTTAGGAACGGTTGGAGTAACGTTCATTACGTTGCTGGTCTTTGCGATTCGGACTTGTGTGGATCGGTAATCATGATCTACGGTTCAAGGATTAATACGGCGGAGTATAATGAAGGGAGCCAGACAGACTGAACGAAAGAAGCCAAGAGGAGGAGGAGGCGGCACGGGGAACTCAGGAGAGCGAGCCACGCAGCAGGTGAATGAACCAACACGATCGTGTATACGTATACGTAACACTCGAGTACAGAGAGACAAGACACATATTGCACTGCCACTCCATGGCCTTTCGAGACTTTTAAATCGTAGCCTGGGTTCTACGCTCTCGTAATTGTCGATCACGCGGATTTCGCTTTCTCGTAGGGTATCGAGGTGTCTATTCTTCGGAAGGGGTGAACGACACGTGGGAAGACGACAGAAAAGGGTTAGGAAAACGGCCAGAATTTCCGATAAGCGGGAGTCTTCTAGGGGCACAAAAATCGACCGACAAAACGATCGCGCGTCGATAGGGAACTGATTTTGAACTGTAAGAAGCAAAAGAGAACGGTACCGAGATTCATCGTGAAGAAGACAGACCCCCATCCGAATGAGTGGCTGTGTAGCGAGATTGGATACTTGGTAAAACTAGGAGGACGAGGAAAAACGTTCCGTTCCAGGCGGGAGGAATGCGGTAACCGAAGGTCTCGGATGACCTAGCTTTCGTAGCAGGCCTAGGATTCACGGCGAGTCGCACGAACGCAATTTAATTCACGAGTAAGCGACGACCAGGCTCGCGAGAAAAGGGAACACATCGTGGTAGTCGTTGGGGATTAACTACTGGCGAAAAAGTCGCCATATACTCCGAAGGTAAACGCGATGAAGGCGCGGTGCGTACGGATAGGTAGAACGGGGGAGAGATAGAGGGGCAGAAAAAGCTCGAATCAACCACGTTGAAGGTATTAAGCCTGACGAGGTGGCGGCGTGTTTCGCGATCTGACGCGTAGGATCGTCGATCGACGAACGGTTAGAATTTCCACGGAACAATAGATCAGCGGTCGGCTGGCAAAGAGCGCGCAACCTGGCGAGGTGGCCCCGAGAGCAGGTGAATGAATGACGTGATCCAAGGCTCCTCCTTCCGATGCAGGATCACCACCACCGGTATAGGCCGCGGGTGCGCCTCCTCCTCGTATAGGGTCCCGAAGAGAGCACATGGTATGGTATGTCATGCAGCGGCGGTGTGTAGCGCGCGTTATTTCATGGGACGGGGATCGTCGTCGCATTCCTATAGCATCGAGGTACATAAGTGGTTGTACAGTTAACCCGTCGGGTCCGGCTGTTCGCCAGTTGCACCAGGGGAGGTCACCCGAGTTCCGAGAATGATCGTCGTCCCCTTCCTCTCCGTTCTGGGGGCTTCACCTTCTTATACTTTTCTTTCTTTCGGCCAGGCGCACTTCGTCCTTCTCCCCTTGATTCTTCATGTTTCTGCTCCACCGCCACCTCCTCTCTTCTTTTCCGCCGCTACGGCTCCCCTTCCAAACCGATCCGTACGTACACAGGCCGGTTTCTTTTCCTTCCTGAGTTCTTCTCCCGATTTCCACGGTCAGGGTCGCGAACACTCGTCCGGTCGTCTGCCGTTGATCGTGTCCCACCAGACAGCTAGGCTGACGCGGCGACTAACGCTCTACTCGCGATCCGCGTTTGATTTTCTCGCCGGGCTGGTCGTTACCACCGCTTTCAATCTTGATCGGATGGTATACGTTGGCCACGCGGCTAGACGATAATACGATCGACGTGGTCTGTTTTTCTATACGGGAAACACACGCCCGACGACCAATAATGACTCGAGGGAGAAAAAGAGAACGTTACGCTCTCGTGCATACTGTACGCCTCGGGATACTGTATCCCGCGTGGATCTTGTGTTCTTCTGTTAAAGATGCCTGGACGATAAGGCAGAAGTTAGTCGAGCATCGTTATCGGTTTCCTGATACTCGCGGGCAACACTTCTCCTATCGAGTTATTGATGTCGACGCGTCGTTCGGAACACACAGGTTGGGGAGCGAATAACTCGTGGAAAAGTACTACCTACGGCACTACTTTTAGATGGGTAAAATAGACGACGATTTCTGTATTCCTCTTCCAGTTCGTGAAATAATTCCCTTTCAAACGCGGTCGGTTGTATCACGGTACTCGACGTTCCTTCTCGTAAATTCGACGCTGATTCTACATCGGTAGATCGATTGCCTCGCCGGAGACCGACAACTCGCAGTCAAGTTTCAACGCGAATGCAACTAAACCACGAGATCTACCGTCTACGACGGAACTGGATAGGCTCTAAGTTACGAGAACAGAAGCCGAGTATAGATATCCTTACAAAGGAGGAAGCAGAAGTCTAAGGGAGCGAAGATATCGCCGAGAATATTCGCTTCTCCGCGCTTGGAATCCGGGAGAAAGTATCGTCGAGTACTCGACGCAGGAACAGATCCTCCTCGAGTTTACCGAAGTCCGTATCCAAGGGACACCAATCCTCCCCTATTCCAACTGAATTGTATCACTGGAAAATCGATGTAGAACACGGTTCCAGGAATTCAACTTCCGTTTCCGTTATTTCACCGACGTTGATAATCAAAATTAACGGTCTACGAATGATTATTCCGACTGCCGTACGTCTGCCAAAGTAATATTTGAAAAGGCCATTAGCGGTTATCTCCTTCTTTCTCTCGAGTGCCGCTTGTTTCTAGATTAGAAAGCATTGATCGTGTCGACATCGCTACTTCTACGCGATTCGCGAAACAGAGAGAACAAAAAGTCTTGTAACGGGCGAGCATGATTATTTATTGTTTCATTTTTCTCGTGGATAAACCCGTTCACGAATCAAAACAGATCACGGGTCCAAAGTTTCGCCGTTTAAACGACACGTCCGGGTCTAGGAATTCCGCGCGAGGGCGTCGCGCTGTCTCGAGCCGAAAATTCAAGATTTCTCCTAGCAGAAGAAAGAGATCTTACCAAACTGGTTGGTACCCATTAAAAAAAAAAAAACAGAAAAAAGTAGCACGCGTGTGTTTTGGTTCCCGTGGTCAAACTCGTATCGCAGGCTACACCGTTATACACGCATATTCGATCGCGCGCTGCGGCGGCTTTGGTGGTCCCACCGAACGGACACCCATGAAGATTTGCTTTTTCTTAATGAAAATAGGGAAATCGAGCCGACAACAAGGGGACGTTGATATCGACGAACTTAACGGGTTATCGAACGTAACAGCACACTTCGTCCCTGGTGTGTGTACCAATATGGCGTCCGAGGATAGCTTCGTCGAACGCACCGCTGCGGCGGTCGCCATTTTGCATTCCATAAGGCCGCGGTTGTCCTTACGTGGCAACACCTATCCTCGCCTCCGTGGTCGTGCAACGACCCAAAGGATCGTAAATTACTTTCCCCGGGATCTTCGACCGGAGGAATATCCGACGATGATGGCTGTTCGACTTTCCTTCGAACGTCGATCGAAGTCTGCTCGATCGCGATCTATGCTAAGCGTCTCATTTTTCATTTTTTTTTACGGAAGGTCGGAGACGATCGTGGTTAAGCGTTTGAAAATGACTTCGAATAGGATTGGTTCGGTTGGAAAAGACTGTTTCAAGGAAAGTATGGAAACAACTGGCGAGAACGTATTTCGCGGCTAGGATCGCGTCGATCGATTTCGGAGGCTGGTTCTGGAGCCACGGAGCGGCAGCTAGCAGGCAAAATTCGATCGGTCGAGATACCATAACGAGGACTCCTTCGTGTCGGGTCGACTTCTAAAGGAAGTGTATATCGGGCGAAGAAGAGTAGGAGGAAATCAAGGAGGAGGAAGAGAAGCAAAAGGACGAGGAGGAACGGTCCTGAAGGAAACACGACGAATCTCTCTCTTTCTCTCTCGGATGGACTGGGCCCGCGCGATTGGTGAACCTGAAAGATACAGAGATAGACGAGGGATAGTGATAGAGAGAAAGAGAAAGAGAGGGAGGGTGGAGGAGACAGGGAGAGGGAACAGAGCGAGAGGAAGAAAACAAACTCCGCCTGTTACGTGTGTGTCCTTACACGTACGTGTATGCTCCAAACACGCGTTCCGTACGGTCGTTCGTTGAAAAGAGATGCGCGACGAGGGACAAGCGTACACACGTACAAATGCGTTTGTATGAGAAAACTAAGGAGCGAGCAAGAGAAAAACGGGGAGGGAGGAGAGAGAAAGAGAGAGGGGAGGCTGGCAAGGGGAGGAGAGGTTAAGAAAGAGAGAGAGAGAAAGATGAAGGAGGGGGTGCAGAGATAAGAGAGTGAGGAGAAACGAGAGAGGGAGTAAGGAATGCATGGGAACGAGGCGCAAGCGGGCCGACCGCGATTTGCCCGTCCCGCATTCCACCAACGCCAAGGCGAGCTCTCCGGCTCTTCTCAGCTCCGAGTCCCGAGGCCACCAGCCACGGCCTAACACCATAAAATCATAAGACCAAGATCAACCCCGCTACTCTCCTCCACATTATCTCCGGCATC